GGAAGCGCAAGGCAGCGCGTAGGCGGGGGCTGCCGGGGACGGCTCAGCCGGGTCCCCGCCGCCGGCTGCTCCCGGGCAGCAGCGCGGAAAGTTTCATTTCTCCCCTGATTTGGTTCAAACCAACAAAGTTTACCCCTCCAAAAAAAAACTATTCAAGCAAAATACACTCAGAAAAAGCAAGTCCTTGTTGAACCGGGGCGCAGCATCCCGCCTGCCTGGAAAAGCTCTTTGTTTCCTGGGCTTTTGATTATTTTTTTTGTAAAGCCTCTTTAAAACCTCTTTTCCCATTTTGCTTTTCCCATCTTATCTTTTACTTTTCCTTCCTGAGTATTCTCCCATCTGTTAGGGATGAGCTCCTCTGGCCGCAGCTCATTTTTATCAGAAAAAGCCAATTCATGGCAGGAATTTCTCTGAATTTTAGCTGGCTTCTTGCACTTCCCGCATTTTCTCTACCTGTTTGTTTCTGATTTTAATTTAAATGGGCACTCGCGTGGGCAAAGGGCACAATCCCAAGGTGAGCTGGCAAACACAAAATATTATATAAAGAGCGTTTTAACTCCTGTTTCATTTTTAATGTTTTAGATCTCCCTTCCGGCTGAATTCGTTTCCTCTGAACTCGGGCAGCAGGAGGCAATTCTGGATCCAATAAAATCGGGGGAAAAGCTGGGGGGACCATTTCAGTTTAGTGTCGAAAAGCCGGATTTAGGGGCAAAGAGCTGATTAGAAGGGTATTTGATTTGAGATGTCCCCCCAGCCCCCCCCCAATATACCTATAAGCGAATCCTATCCCTGTTCTGCAAGGGTGACATTTCCCACCACAGGAAAAAAAAAAACCCAAAAATTGAAAAAGCAGAAAACCAGGAGGGAAGGCTTGACCCCAGCCACAGCCGAGCTGCCTCAAATGCCGGCTCCATCTCCTCTGCCTGCTCCCTGCCCGCTCCCTGCCTGCTCCCTGCCCGCTCCTGCACCCTGCCTGCTCCTTCTCTGATCCCCTCCTGCTCCTGCTCCGCTTCCTCGGCTGATTCCCTGCCCGTTCGCCCGCCTGCACCCTGCCCACAGACTGCCTGCTCCCCTGCCTGCATCTCGCCCGATACGCCTTCCCGCTCCCTGCCCGATCCCTCCCCGCACCCTGCCCGCACCTTGCCCCATCCTCCATGTTGTCCCCTGCCCGCTCCCTGCCCGCTCCCTGCCCGCACCAGCCCGCATTGCCCAGTCTCTCCCCAGTAACCAGCCCTCGCCCCGGGGTGGCTCTGCTTCCACCCCAGGCTGAGCCAGCCCAGGGAGCCCCAAAACGGGGACAAGTTTTGGGGTGATTGCATTTCCAGGAGGAGCAAGGGGCTGGGGAGCACTGCCAGTTTCCAAGGAGACGGGGGAGAGTTACTGAAAAAAAGCCGGATTTAGGGATTCACAGCAGAGCTTCCTCACCTGGCACTGGGGGGGCACAGCGACCCCCAACCCGCCCCCCTCACAGCCCTGGCACTGCCCTTACCTGGGGTTTGGGGGGGGAGTGGTGGGGATAAGGCTGGAGGGTTGGGTGCAGGTTTGGGTCTGGGAAAGTTAGGAGGAGGATTGGGAACGTTGGGTATGGATATGGGTTTGGGCTTGGGAGGGCTGGGTATGGTTTGGGCTTGGGGTTGGGCTTGGTTTGGGTCCTGGACCCCACCCAGTTTTGGGGACTGAAAGGGGAGCACGGACACTAGAAGAGCCCCCCACCCTCCGTCCCCAATTTCCCAAAGAGCAGGGGAGGACGGGTCCCCCCAGCCCCTGGGGCCATGCAGGGCCGGGGGGGCCGGGGAGGCAAACCCCGGAAGGCAGCCCCCCCGCCGTGGTCGTAGGGGGGGGCCACGGCCTCCCTCACC